CTCCTCCTCCTCATCCTCCTCCTCCTCGTCATCGTCCTCCTCCTCCTCCTCCTCCTCCTCCTCCTCCTCCTCTTCCTCGTCCTCCTCGTCCTCCTCCTCCTCATCATCCAACTCCTCCTCCTCCTCCTCCTCCTCCTCCTCCTCCTCCGGAACGCGCCGAGAGCGTCCTGGAGCCCTCTGGACCGGCTTTGTCCTTGCCCATGCCCTGAACTGTGGCGCCGCAAACGAGCTAAGACCTCATAGGGAGCCACGACCAGTGCCGTGTAGAGCTCCTGCGGCACCTTCCTGGGCCGGATGCATCTGCGAGAGCCCTGGGGTCGGCATTTCGGGCGAAAACGACTGGCGTGAAAAATTGCAACGCCAGGATCTGAATGACTTGCGCTGCAGGATACAGCGTGAGTCTGAAGGTGCTGTTTGTGGTGCCCTCAGATCTGGCCGTCGCGTTTCTGCCCCGATTCGGGTCCCATGACCCGAAAAAACCGACCTGGACCCAGAAATACCCCAAAGAAGAGGGGGCTGATAATGGTGGCTGTTTGGGACGCCCGAAGTGGGCACGGAAAGAATCGGTACAGTGCCCAACAAGAAATGTCGTCCAAAACTGACAGCGGCCGCTGTTGGGCAGGTGGTTTTTTGCCTTCAGTGAACAACGTCCGCGGCGGCGCGGACAGCGAGACCTGCTCAAAATGAATAGGAACTTCTGTTGGACATCGAAACCACTCTTTCCGTACCGATTTCGATCGTCCCGAGCTGTGATTTTTCACTACATCCGATGGTATGATTATTTCGATGCGCGGCCCCGAGGTCCGGATCCTCTCGCCAGCCATGAGGGGACGCGCTCGCAGACCAGGGCCCGCGGACGAGTTGTGGATGGCCCCCCGCGGGCCCCGAAAGCTGGAGGTGGAAGCCTGGATGGTGGTAGACACACGCCCCGACTTGAAAAAAATGATCGTCGGCGGAAATCTGGGCTTGTGCACGCCGCCAATCACCCTTGGGAGAGCAGACAAAAAGCGATAACCATGGCCCAGGCTGAACGCGGAAACGTTGGTGCCGACCTTCTGGTCATCGTCCGTTTTGGTCACCGTCAACTCGTGGATAACCCTCGCGAATCGGCGACGGCAGACATGGACCGTGGCCAAGATCGGCGTCGACAAGATCCTGCGACCACCTGGTCATGGTCATTGTACCTCTTCCCTCGACCTTCCCAGCCACCCGAAATCGTGCCTTTTTTACAACGCGACTCCCCGAAGGTCTAAGACGTCATCGTTGGAAGCGGCATTTTTTCACCCTGAGCAATTCTGTTACGGTCCCGAGAAATGGCGAGGGCCGCCAGAGGTCGAAAACTGCCCAGAAGCTCCCGTCGTGGTCTGTCTCACACAACGCTTAGGTCGGGCATGTCCCCCCCTACAGGCGGAGCTTGGATGGAAAATTCAAAATATTCAAACCAAAAAAAATGTCAAAAAAATTGCCGACCCCTTGGGGTCACGACGTGTGAGATACTTCCCCCTTCCCACCCCCCCCCGGGGGAGCCCAGTCCGGCCGGTTTGGAGGGGGGGGGGGGGGAGGGCAAAGGTGCTGGCCGCACCCTTGGAGCCTCAGGGGGCCCCAAAACGGGCCAAGAGGGCCCCAAAAGGCCCCCTGGACGGTCCAAGAGGGCTACGAGTCGCCGAAAGATCACTCCAAGACGCCCAAGATCGCCTCCAGACGGTCCCAGAGGCCCCCAAGACGCCCCAAGAAGCCACCAAGAGGCGTCCCAAGAGGCCCTCCAGAAGCAAAAATCGTCACATACACTAGGGAATACGTATATGTTTAGCATTTTCGCCTCTTGGGCTTTCACGAGGCCCACAACGGCCCAAGAAGCCTTTAAGATCGACCCAAGATAGCCCAAGAGGCCCCCAAGAGGGCTCCAAGACAGCCCAGGTGGGCCCCAAGACGGCCCCAGAAGCTTCCAAAACGACCCAGGAGGGCCCCAGGACGGCCCCAAGAGGAGGCCCAGAGGGGGAACCCGAATGAACGTTTCGAGCACTCGGCCCCGAAAAAACCTGAGGAGGCGCCAATAGGCCCCCAAGAGGCTCCCATAAGGGCCACGAGAGGCCCAAAAGAGGCTCCTAGAGGCCTCAAAACGGCCCCCAAGGAGAGCCCAGAGAAGCCCAAGAGAAGAGCGGCGATCCGCCAACAGACCCCGACGAAATCCCAAGAAGCTGAAACCCCAAGATTCCCAAGAAATCGTTCCGCAAACTCCGTTTTTCACTCTTACTGCCGCCCCAAGGGGTTGGCGGTGCGGCGTCAGCCAATAAACCCCAAAGTCACCCCCAAACTATTGTTTACTATTTTTGAGTATTCCTCCTGTAGAGGGACAGGCCCGGCTTGACACAACGCGAGGATGTCCAGGACCTTCCCTTCACCCTCGGAGCGCACCTGGTCATACCCTGACCTCTAACTCCTCCTCCTCCTCCTCCTCCTCCTCCTCCTCCTCCTCCCCCTCCTCCTCCTCCTCCCCCTCCTCCTCCTCCTCCTACTCCTCCTCCTCCTCATCCTCCCCAGTTGCCAGGTCGTGCAAAACCACGACTCGCGCCCCAGACCCCAGGCCTCTGCTGCGCTCTCCTCGCCGCATCGACCTCTGCTGGCCCTGTGCCCGACGCCCCGCGAGAGCGCCCCGCGAGATACGGCAGCGCCCGGACTGATCGCGGGGTGGTCGTCGCGCCTCTCCCTTCGGCCCTCGGAGCGCGCCAAGTCCTCCTCGCCCTCGCCAGCCGCGCCCAGCCTCGCCGGCAGCGCCGCCGGCGTGGCCGCGGCGGAGCCAGCCGCGGGCGCGGCCGCGCCGCCCGCGGGCGCGCTTTGGCCTCGGGAGCTTCGGCACCCGCGCCGCAGGAGGTCGGCGCGGCGCGGCGCGGGGCTCGGGCGACCCCCGAGATCCAGGCGCTGCAACTTCCAACGCACAACGCACGGATTCCCCATCATGTCGAGCGGACACGACAGCCACAACCTGGGATGCTCACTCCTCAGCAGCACCGACCTGCCGTGCTCGACAGAGAGCGGAGTGGACAGGCGCACCCAGCCTCGCCCACGCCAAGGTTTGCATCAGAACCCCAGGCTACTGGTCGTTCGCAATATTGCACCTGGACCACGACGTCGTTCACTCCAGGCGTCTTCGCCCGGTTTCTGGCCCCACATCCCTCCGCGAAGCTTAAGCAAGTCTTGCCGACCCCCCCGTTGCCCCTCAGTTTCAGTGTTCAATGGCGCGCGCGGGGCGGTCTGCAAATGCCGGCGAGAAATACAGAGTCGCTTGTCTCGGCATCAGCATCGGAATTTGGGGCCTGGGGACGCCGACACTTCGCGGGCAAGACATGCTTTAAGTTTCGCAGAGGGGTGCAGGGTCCGAACACAGATCGGTTCGGCTCGAAAGTATGGCGCGGAAAGATAGGGTTAGGTCGGGCATGTCCTCCTACAGGCGGCTTTGGGGCGAAAAATCAAAATAATCCCAGTGCGACCCTACCTAGGAGTTGGAGCCTCTAGGAAAGCAACATAGCGGGAGTAGTGGATGCTGTGCTGCGCTATGCTATACTATGTTATGTTCTGCTATGCTCTGCTATGTTCTGCTATGCTCTGCTATGCTATGCTATGCAATGCTATGCTATGCTATGCTATGCTATGCTATGATATGCTATGCTGCGCAATGCTATGCTGGGCTAGGCTAGACTAGGCTATGTTATGCTATGCTATGCTGCGCTATGCTATGCTGCGCTGTACTATGCTATGCTATGCTATGCTATGGTATAATTTTGCTTTGCCTTCGCTTTTGCCTTCGCTTTTGCCTTTGCGTTTGCTTTTACTTGGCACCCAGGGAGCGCAACTGGGGGAACCGCGCGTTTGCTTTTACCTTTGCTGTTGCTTTTGCTTGGCTCCCAGGGGACCGGGGGAATCGCCCGGGGCGCGTTACACTGCCCGCCCCTTTAAGCAAAGCGAGTAAGAACCCTTCTAGGCAGAGCCTAGGTAGGGAAATACCCCAAAAATATTCAAATAATATTCAAAATTGACAAAACTCATCCCCAGACTATTTTCGTAACGACTTTTGAATACTCCTGCTGTAGAGGGACACGCTCGACTTGAAGATAGGGTCTGGGGCTCTGGTGGTGATGTGCCACGATGCTGCGACCTTCTTCGCAACGTCAGATCTCGGGGCCCAACGTATTGAAAAAACAGGGCTCCGGCTTGCCGCTGTGCTCAATCTCTGGTCGGAGACCTGCTGACCTGGGCCAATCCAAACCCGGGACAGTCAGGCCCTGCAGGATCCTGCGGAATCCTGCAGGATCCTGCACCCAGACCCTGGTTCATGCGACCCTGGCCCTGCAGGATCCTGCAAGATCTGGCGCTCCAGCCTCTTCCTCCTCCTCCTCCTCCTCCTCCTCCTCCTCCTCCTCCTCCTCCTCCTCGACCCCCGTCCGTTGAGCCCCGAGCTGTGCACAGCTGTCGCCCTCCGGCTCCTGTATACCCCGCCCCGCCCGCCTCCCCGAAGGCCCCAGGATGCGCCCGGCCGTCTCCCGAGTCCGCTCCGAGGCCCAGCAGAGGCTCCAGTGACACCGACCAACGAGGGACATCGATCAGCGAGAGGCTCCAAGAACACCGATCATTGACCCCCGCGTGAAGGCCCCCGACCTGGGGACCCTCGCTGGGCCCCAGGGTCACCACAGGTCCCGTGGGAAGGGCCCGGGCTCTTCGAGGGCGCGGCGCGGAGGAGGCCCCCACGAGACCCAGAGGAGGCCCCAAGAGGTCCTCAGACGGCCCCTGAGAGGCGTCCACACCGCCTCCAAGAGGCCCCATCCGCGCGTTCCTGGGCGGGATAGATGGGCTGTCGGGCCCCTATCGGCGATGAATTGGCGGTTGGGGATCGGTGCATCCTCCCCTTGAGCCTACTCCCACCCCCCCTGACGTTGCCCCTGAGCCCTGCCCACTCCCCTCCCCCGCCCCTCCCTGCGAGTCTCCCCAGCCTGCCCCACACCTTCTGTTCGGTCTCCGGGCGCGTGGTTCATCGCAGCCAACAGTGCCCATGCGTGGGCGTGAATTCCTGTACTGCCGCGCGCTCTTGGCGCGGCCGGCAGGCCAGAGGAAATGTGCAGCCTGCGGTGCACGAACAGAGCGCGGGCCGCCTCGGCAACGGCAACCGGGCGCGCTGTGGCTGATCTCTCGCGCGGCCCCCGCCGCGCATCCCTACGGAACCGCACAACGGGGCCGCGAAGACTGGCCAAGCGGCGTCACAGCCTAAGCCCTGCAGTTGCCGCTCGGATTCGCCCTGCGGCACGCCGCGGCGAACTGGTCGCACTCGCGGCAGTCGTCTCCCTTGCCGCCCTGGCCATTGCCCTCCATCCATCCACAGGAAGTCCCGCTCGCATCAGGACTTGGATTGGTGACGTAGGCCGCAGACCACTGGCAAGTGGACTGCGCTGGTGCGGAGAAATATCCGTTGAGAACCCTGCAAGTCCTCGCACACGCCGTGTCCTGGCAGAAATCGTCGCAATAGTTGCAGTTGCACTCCTGGCCCTGGCCTCCACAATAAGTACCCGACAGCTGCACGCAACCGGGACCGCTCGAGCTGGTGGTGCTTGTCGTAGACGTGGTGGTCACGACGGTGCTGGAAGAGGGGCAATACAGATAGCACTCGCCGGCCCACTCCCGGCACGGCACCGCCGCCCTACCGGAGCACGCCTGCCCGTCCGCGCAGGAGCCGTCCACGCGATCGCCGCTGGCCCCGAAGCTGCCGCACAGCCGGTGGCAGATGCTCTGCGCGCCAAAAAGGGAGCCCGCGGCCGGGGGCACGCACACCAGGCCGTCGGCGCAGTCGCCGTGGAAGTAGCCCGTGGAGCCGCTGCTGCCACACTGCTCGCCCTCCTGGGCCTTCGCCTGCATCGCGGCGCCCGCCAGGCAGTCCGCGACCTTCGTGTTGTTCACGCACCCCGAGAAGCTACGGCTCGCCGACGGGCACGGGAACGTGGCACCCCCCGAGCCTGGAGGAACAAAGCAATTGCATAAACATAAACTGACATAGGTGCGCGCAGATTCCTCGGGTCGGCGCCAGGGGCGTCGCAAGAGGCGCCGCCAGTTGGGCCCCAGCGCCGATCCAAGAAATCCGCGAGGAGCTCCGAAACTATGTCGGTTCTTCGTCGAGAGAGAGCCAGCGTAGCCCGGGCAGCACTGGTCCCCCGCGCACATGCTGCTCGAGCCCGGGCACTGCACATCGGCCCCCACCTTGCAGATACCCAGCGCCTTGATCCCCCTGTACGCCAGGGATCCCCTCAGGGAGCTGAACAGCTGGCGGCAAACACTCTGCGCGCCAAAAAGGGAGCCCGCTGCCGGGGGCACGCACACCAGGCCGCTGGCGCAGTTGCCGAAGAAATGGCCTGTGGAGCCGCTCCTGCCGCACTGCTCGCCCTCCTGGACCTCCGTGTGCACCTCTGTGTCCGCCAGGGAGCTGGACAGGCAGTCCGCAACCTTCGTGTTGTTCACGCACCCCGAGAAGCTGCGGCTCGCCGACGGGCACGGGAACGTGGCACCCCCCGAGCCGGCGTAGCCCGGGCAGCACTGGTCCCCCGCGCACATGCTGCTCGAACCTGGGCACTGCACATCGGTCCCCACAACGCAGCTGGCGGTGGTGGTGGTCGTCGTCGTGGTGGTCGTCGTCGTGGTGGTCACGACGGTGCTGGAAGAGGGGCAATACAGATAGCACTCGCCGGCCCACTCCCGGCACGGCACCGCCGCCCTACCGGAGCACGCCTGCCCGTCCGCGCAGGAGCCGTCCACGCGATCGCCGCTGGCCCCGAAGCTGCCGCACAGCCGGTGGCAGATGCTCTGCGCGCCAAAAAGGGAGCCCGCGGCCGGGGGCACGCACACCAGGCCGTCGGCGCAGTCGCCGTGGAAGTAGCCCGTGGAGCCGCTGCTGCCACACTGCTCGCCCTCCTGGGCCTTCGCCTGCATCGCGGCGCCCGCCAGGCAGTCCGCGACCTTCGTGTTGTTCACGCACCCCGAGAAGCTACGGCTCGCCGACGGGCACGGGAACGTGGCACCCCCCGAGCCTGGAGGAACAAAGCAATTGCATAAACATAAACTGACATAGGTGCGCGCAGATTCCTCGGGTCGGCGCCTGGGCCCCCCTCCCTTGCGCGCGGAGCGCACCAGGGGCGTCGACGGAGGCGCCGCCAGTTGGGCCCCAGCTCCGATCCAAGATATCTGCGTAGAGCTCCGACTGCTTATGTTCACGGCGTGCATGATTCTGCTTATTCGAAATATTATAATGAATCTCGTGATTAGTAACATACGAACAATGATGATGATGATGATAATGAAATACGAAAAATACAAATAAGTAGATCCTCACATTATATTATAGTATGGTATAGTGCATACGATGGTATACGGCATTTTAGTGTCGCATATAGTGCTATATAAGAAGACGCTGAAAACTAGATCGCATTGGATTATGTTAGATGGAATTCGATGTTACTGTGATATCAAAAATACTAGTATGGTTAATATTGTTAGGATTATTATTACTTATGTGTTTCCGAAGTGTGTTCGTATTCCTTCCGTCTTCTCATTATAATGTTATGTCCTGCTAATGTCGATATTATCAATTGCAGTCACATTATTGTTGCTAGCATTGGGGTTAGCATTATTAGCATTATGATTATTATTAGTATCATTACTATCCGTATCAGTATGAGCAGTAGTAGTAGTAGTAGTAGGCGTAGTAGTAGTAGTAGTAGTAGTAGTCGTAGTAGTAGTAGTAGTAGTAGTAGTAGTAGTAGTAGTCGTAGTAGTAGTAGTAGTACTAGTACTAGTACTAGTAGTAGTAGTAGTAAGTAGTAGTAGGCAGTAGCAGTAGTAGTAGTAGTAGTAGTAGTAGTAGTAGTAGTAGTAGTAGTAGTAAGTAGTAGTCGTAGTAGTAGTAGTAGTAGTAGTAGTAGTAGTAGTAGTAGTAGTAGTAGTAGTAGTAGTAGTAGTAGTAGTAGTAGTTAGTAGTAGTCGTAGTAGTAGTAGTGGTAGTAGTAGTAGTAGTAGTAGTAGTAGTAGTAGTAGTAGTAGTAGTAGTAGTAGTAAGTAGTAGTAGTAGTAGTAGTAGTAGTAGTAGTAGTAGTAGTAGTAGTAGTAGTAGTAGTAGTGTAGTAGTAGTAGTAGTAGTAGTAGTAGTAGTAGTAGTAGTAGTAGTAGTAGTAGTAGTAGTGGTAGTAGTAGTAGTAGTAGTAGTAGTAGTATCCTCCACTTCTTGTGAGAGAGAAAGAGAGAGAGAGAGAGAGAGAGAGAGAGAGAGAGAGAGCCGGCGTAGCCCGGGCAGCACTGGTCACCCGCGCACGTGCTGCGCGAGCCTGGGCACTGCACATCGGCCCCCACCTTGCAGGTGCTGCCCAGAGCCCCCACCACTGCAATGGCAGCCACGCCCACAAATAGCATCGAGCACGGCATCGAGTGGACCTGCGAGGACCACGAGTCCAGGCTGCTTCCCTGCGAGAGGCCCAGAGCCTTGATCCTTGAGCCTCGGGGCTACGGAGCCGGCCCGAGGCCCGCACGGAGCCACCAGCGGGCATGGCCCCACCGGAGCGCACGCCGACGACACCTGCACCGACCGTGGCGCCAGGCCCCTTCTGGACCCGAGATCTGCGGAGACCCCTCCTGGCTTGGCCAGATAGGTATATGCACGGTTCCCGGGCCCTGGCCAGAACCCGCGCACAGAGGTGGATAGGCGGCACCTCCCGACAAGTGGACATCCATGCTCTCTCTCTCTCTCTCTATTTCTCTCCCGCTCGGGCTCTGCCTGGACTGTCCTTCACTTGCCTGAGCTGTGCGGTCTACGCCAGGCCACACAATTCCTGGTCCCTCGGGCCTCGAGTCCTGGGGCCTCGTGCCCAATGCAGGAGCCCTCGGGCGCCAGCTCTTTGGACCCAATTGCTTCGCGTTGCGTTGCTCTGCTGCGCGATGCTGCCCGCTTCGATATGCTACGATATGGTACGCACTTCTGTGTTGCACGAAGCAATGCAACACGGTGCTTTGCTGCGTCATGCTACCTTCCGGCATGCAGCGTGCTTGCTATGCTATGCCATCCCAGGGTGGCTATGTGCCATGGCATGCAGCCGTACGCCATGCTGCTCCACACCAGCGGACTGTAAACCCCCACCCCCCACCCCGGGTCTGGAATGGGGAGGGCGCGAGCCGCTTCAGGGTCCAACTCTTACCCCTGAGTGGCTCTCTAAGGTGGCTCCAGATAGCCGTCGGGGGCGTCCAAGAGGGGGGCGTCGTCAAAGAGGGAGGGGTGCAAATCATGGCCCGAGGCATGTGCGGCGCACATGCCTCGGGGGGGGGGCCAGGGAACGCATCGAAATGAGACGAGGGGCCATGAGATCTGGGGAGGTATCATGGCCCTGGCCATGGTATCCACCCCCCCCTGGTCATCACCCCCCTCTTGGCCGCTCCCGGAGCCGAACCTGGCCCAGAGGTGTCTCAACAGATGGTCCGCACGGCCCGAGATGTCACCCAGCGTGTTTGCCCAGCGTGTTTGCCTCCGGGCGGCCCCGGGGAACGCCACGAGGCGGCACGGGCCGGCCACACGGAGCCTCCCTGGCGGGACGCCCCCGAGAGGCCACGCGCCCCTCTCGCAGCACCCCCGCAGATACCTCGGCCTCCTCCCCGGGGACCCGCGCCGCGTCCCGAGTCAACTTTGGACGGTCCCGCGGCCCGGGGTGGGCCCCGAGAAGGCCAAAACTGAAGGGGCCCTGGGGCACACAAATCCGCCGATCCGGCATGTGAGTTTCTGAGAGCGTGGACTTGAGCTCGCTCAAGCTTCGCTCTGCAGGGGGGGGGGGTACGTTATTTCCGACGTCATTTCCGACGTTTTTCGGTACACGGGGATATTTCCGACGTCATTTCCGACGTTTTTCGGTACCCAGGGACAGGGGGGTATAGAAAACTCCACTTCCGGAGCCCCGACCGCCCAAGACAGCCCAAGAGGAAGCCAACAGAGGCCCCAGGGGCCCCAGAGGAAGCCAAGAGAATGCAAGAGGGCCCCGAATCGCCGAAACATCGCTCGAACCGCCCAAGATGCCCCGAAGACAGCTCCAGAAACCCCCAAGACGTCCCCAGGATCCCTCACGACACTTCCCAAGAATACCCAGAGACTGACAAACAGACCCATTCCCTTAGGAAAACGTATATTTTCGGCATATTCGATTCTTGGGCCTTCACAATGTCCAAGACGGCCCCAGAGCTCCCTAAGACACGCCAACAGGCCCCCAAGAGGGCTCCAAGACGGCCCCCGAAGGGCCCAAGACGGCCCAGGAGCGCCACAAGACGACCCAAGTCCAAAGCCCAGACCGCACAAGACGGCCCAAGAGAAAGCCAAGAGAGGCCCAAGAGGCCCCCTAGACGGTCCAAGAGGGCCCCGACTCGCCGAAACATCGCTCCAAGCCGCCCAAGATGCCCCCAAGACGGCTCCAGAAGCCTCCAAGACGTCCCCAGGATCCCCATCATCATCTCGCTCTCACCCCCCCCGGATCGGCGGCACTGGCCGGAGGCCAGCCCAATAAATACACACAAATAACAGGATCCCCCATATGTTCCTATATTTTCTGGGTTTCTGTCTTCCCCCCACTTCCCATATTATCTCATATTTTCTGGCGAATTGACGATTGATTGTGTCTGTGTGTGTGTTTGTCCCCTCCTGAAAAACACTGCCCCAGGGCCTTCCGTCGTGGCTTCTGTTCGCGCGAATTCGCCACGCGAGAGGGCCTGGTCACGAGCGGCGGGCGCATCCTGGGGCGCACAGAGACATCCTGATACTATCGTACGTCCTCCTCGGACGCGCGCGTCCGACCCGAACAGAACGTATACCCACCTTGCAGCGCACCGTTTCCCGACCGGTGTGGCTAGAAAGCGCCCGCCACGAGGCATGGACTAACAGGAGTTCTCGGTGCGCGCGCCGCCCCTGGCGGGGCGTCGCGCACACAGCATCAGTGTGTTGGGGTGCCGCCGACCTCCGTGTCCGCGCCCTCGCGGTCTGGACTGCCGAGCGGCATCCCGCGGGCACGCGGCCGCGCGGCTCCACGCTCCGCGCAGGGGCCGCCGCGCACAACAAAAGCATGCCGCGCGGCCGCGGGGCCGCCGGGCCCGAGGGCCAGTGGCCCGCGAGGGCGCGGGGGCGGAGGATGCTTGGCGCCCACGGCGTTGGACGCCCGACGTGGGCGCGGAACACGTGGGTACGAGGACGGTGTTGGATGCCCACGGTGCTGGATGCCCAACCACAGATGCTGTCCACGGTGTTGGATGCCCACGGTGTTGGGTGCCCACGGTGTTGGGCGCCCACGGTGTTGGATGCCCACGGTGCTGGATGATGATTGACGCCCACGGTGTTGGATACCCAACAACAGATGTCCAAAATCGGCAGCGGCCGCTGTTGGGCACTCTGCCTCAAGTGGACCACGTCCGCGGCGACACCGGCGGCGAGTCCTGTCCAAAATGCACAGGAACTGCAGTCGGTATTCGTACCCTTAGGTCGGGCGTGTCCCCCTACAGGCGGATTTTGGACGAAAAATAAGCAGTACCCAGAAAATATCCAAAAATTGTCAAGAATGGCGTTCTTTATCCCCAGACTCTTTTTGGACCATGTTTGAACATTCCTCCTGTAGAGGCACAGGCCCGACTTAATCGTACCCATTCTTTCCGTATCCACTTCGATCGTGCCGACCTCAGACGCGACCGAGGCTTCCCTCTTCCACGCCTGGTGGTTCTCAGGCCAAAGTTCTCGAGCCTCTGGCGGCCACTCGGGACGGCCCAAGCACCCCCAAGAGAGCCCTCGACGAGGCGCAGCTGCTGGAGAGCATCCCGAGGCGCTCCAGAAATGCCCTCGCCCTCCTCTTGGGCACCCCTCGTCCTCCGCCCCAGTGACCCGCTGATCAATCTTACCGAACCCCGCGTGGACCGCGTCGAATCGATCGGCCCCTCTGACGGGCAACGACAAAGGGGGGAATAGGTATATGGGGGGAAACATCGACCTGGAATGGGCGATACATCGCCGGTAGATCGGCGATAGGCCCCCAAAAGCGAATCCGCACCTTCCTGGGCAGGTTGGGGCTATCGGGCCCCTATCGGCGATCTGGGCGATTGGGGGTTGATACATCCCCCCCTATGCTTATCCCCCCCGATCGTTGCCCCAGGACTAGATTCTCTCCAAGCTGAAGCTGGAGGCCGCTCAAATAGGGCTCGAGTAGATGGGGTCGGTGGATCGCGCCGCATCGCCGATGCATCGGCGATGTGTCGGCGACGTCGGCGATGCGTCGGCGACGTCGGCGCGAAGAGAAGTGGCCTCCGCATCGAGGCACGTTCAACCGACCACACCTGCACACCTGCCGCGACCCGATTTGGGCGGCTTGACCTCCTCCGGAACTCCTTCTCGGGTGGCGCGCACAGGGGGGTGGCGCGAGGGGGGGACCATCTGAGAAGCTGGCGCAGCTTCGTGCAAGGCA